GTCTCGGGGAGCAGCGGCCCCTGGGGCTGGCATGGAAATAGAGCGCTGGCCGTGAGTGCCCACCTGGGAAAAGCTGCACCCATGTCACAGGAGAGGGACAGGTGCCAGGGCTTGCCAGGCACCACGTCCAGACCGGAGGGACGTCTGCCTGCCCGCGGGAGCTGGGCAGGAGAAGGCCAGCGCACCTTCCTTACGGCATTTCACCTCTCTCCAGTTCCGCTGCCAACAGCAAAGCTCGTCACTGTCACCTCCGCTGCAGACTCAGATGAGCACTGAGCCCTTCTGGAAGTAACCCAGTGCGGGATGCACCAGTCTGACAACCCCTCTCTTTGATTTGCTGCCTACCAGTGTCTGCTTAGGCAGTGGTTACAACTTCTACACGTCCGCAGAGAGAGTCTGCTAAACCTGGACCTTTTTCTGTGTCGTTTTTCTGAGCAGCACGTGTCTGCGTATTTACAGGAATACCCAAGGAGCCACTGGCTGGCTTCAGAGTTTGTTGCAGCGCAGCACCAGCACTTTCTGGCTCCTGTTTTTCTTACTTGCTTTCATCAGAGGGTAATTCCACTCACTGAACGTGTGAAAACCTCCCAAACCTTCCCCAGAAGAGCTGAGCAGGGCAGAGAGCGACCTGATCCCCCTCTCTCCTGGGCACTGACTGCCACACAGCCCACCTTGTCCCCAGGGTGCTCAGATGAATGACATTCAAGGAAATTCTCTCTCTACTTAGAAACTTGTTTCAATCCAATCAGGTTTTACCTTTTCTGCTTGGCTGAGCTCGTCCTTATTCCTGAGCTTATCCCTGTGCTTGGAATCTGGGTCAATGCTTTCATCTTCTAAAAACTGCATGTTCATATTCAAAAGCCAAGCAGCAGTGCGGTCCAGGGCATTGGGGTTCACAGGAGAAGGGGCCTACAATGAAACATACAACCATAACAAAAGAAAAACCTGTAACAGAAATGGTCATGAAGCCGGAGAGAGAATTTCCTTCCAAGCAAGCCCTCTCCCATGCTGCTCAAACAGCAATGAACAAGCCTGAGCTCCCAGGACGGTCGGGGCTAGCGGGCAGGAACAACTCCTGCTCTGCACCTGCACATTATTTAGGTCAAACAGCCATCAACAGGCCAAACTGTTCCCTGGGCCGCTCCCCCCAGAAGGGCACACTGCGGTGGTGCCTGCTGAAAGCGACGGGCCCAGGGTGCTGAGCAGGTCCTGTCCCCTTAGAAGGAGCCGAGAAGGCACCGAGCTGCGGGCAGGCGGAGCGGCTTGACGTGGTGCATCCGCTCTGCGAGCGGAGAGTTCGCTCAACTCTTCAGCCTCTTCTTCTGAGCCGTCTTTTCGCTTAAAACCAGGTTTGTAAACTGAAAAGCTACTCTTGGTCACGCAGGTGTCTTCTTGGAAAGCACAGGTTTCTTTTTCGACTGAGACGACACTCAAGAGGCTGAAGAGGTCTAAAGGCTCGACACCGCAGCAGTTCACCTCCAGGTTTGCTCATGGTTGGGAGCTGAGGGAGCGGGGTTGCTCTGCGGTCAGCGGGCTAGAGCCACGGCTGCTGCTCTTCAGTCCCAGCCGGGGCAGGGACTGCGAATGGCACTGCCCAAATATTTTCCAACCGCGTTACAAGTTAAGGAAATGCATCGCCAGCTATTTCCCCTCCATCCTGGCTCATTATAAACTGCAGGAAAGAATTTCTTGGATGAACACAAGGGATTTGGATGATTTTGTCAAAGGGATTCAAGTTAACAAAGTCAGAAACGTTGGGGACTTTCTCCTTCATTCCAATCTCTGGACCGTGGAGAAGCCCAGGCACTGGGAAGCAGCAAAAGGGAGGTTCTGTACTTGGCCAGACGTGGACTGCTTTATTCACCTGGAGGCTCTTCCATGCCATTTTCCAGCCTCGTCTTCTTCTTCCAGAATTTTAGATCAGAAGATTCTGGCCTGGGACCAGGCTGGAGGTCAGTTCAGCGGATGAACTTGCAGAAGTAGAGGAAGTGCTTCTGGCTGGCAGGAACAAACAAGGTTCGTGGACTTCTACTGAAACGGCCACCAAGCGCGATTTCTTTGTTCTCAAACAGCATTTAATACCAGCAGCTGGAGCAAGCAGTTTCATTATGGTTTACAGAAGCTGCTAACACACAAGTGAAATGCACAGATCGAGGGCAGGAGAGGCATTCTGAGGACAACAGGGGTGGGTGGAGGAAAGATCTGCAAACACAACTTGGCCAGGGCTTCCCGAAGGTCACCTGGAGTTCACTGTTGTCTTTCTGGAAGAGACTCTGCTACCGAACAGGCCGTTGCTGCTTGCGGAGCTCTGTGTCCTCTGTACCTGATGAGTATTGATCTGCATCACACAAGTGCTGCGACACGTCGCGCTTGCTAATGCCAGCGCTTACGAATCGACAGCGACTGCGCAGAGCAGCGTGGGGTCGCACAGACCACCCCCGACCAAGCCCTCCACAGCGCCTTGTAACGGAGAGGCAGTGACACCAACTCTGCTGCTGCTGAAGAATTGCCTTAACACCACGTCCAGGCTGAGACGCAGCCAGTGCTTCCCAGCTGTCCACGTTCTCTGGGTTTGCACTACTTTTACAACTCTTCCTTTAGGCACCGAGAGCCCCTGCTGTGTTCATTTTCTACAGGGCTAGCTCCGAAATGTAGAATGAATAAAGTTACACTAGAAAACCCATTTACCCATGCCAGGAAAACCAGAGGGCCCTGGGTCTGTGACCTATTGTTTCAATTTTAGCACCGCAAATAGTGAAGTTTGTTTCTGTGCAGACCAGCATGTGGTCCAGGACCTGAATCGCTGCAGCAGGGACTTGGCTCTCGGCAGGGAGCACGCTCCTTCCTCGTTGCTCCCACCTCCCCTTGAGGCACTCACAGGAGGGTCTCACAGCAAACAAGCAGGAGCGTCCAGGAGTTGCCAAGGCTCCGCGGGGACAGGAGCGGCAGCGGGGACCCTCTCAGTGACAGGAGGAGATTATGGCCTGGCCCAAGTCTGGGAGATGGCGTGGGGTTGACTATGGCATGGGATGAGAGCCTGGGCATGGAGAGGCAAAGCGGTGACAAGATGGTAGTGCAGGGCAGCGGCACGGCTCCCATCACCCTCGTGTCTGCCACCGA